CCCACGCCTCGTCCCTGCGGGGGTACAGTCATTATATCTCGGCTCCTTTCGCCATGCAGAAGCTACCTGTGAAATATTAAGTGCACATGCTCATCAATTAAACTTGAGGTGAAGAAAGCATGGCGGCTGGAGGCGATCGAAGAAAAAAAGCTCTTCTGTTCTATTATCTTTCAAAACAGAGACGGAAAAGGAATGAATTGGCCCGTAGAGCAGCAATGAATCGGCTATCTATGGAGATAATATCACCAGAGATATACACGGAAATATTAATGTTCGGAGCCAAGATTTAATTACTGTAACCCGCAGGGACGACGTGTGGGGAGGCGTGTGAGAGGCGGAGAGACTATTAAAAGATTAGGCGGTTTTTCTTTCATGTACGTCCGCCATTTTTAGGTAACCAGCTTTGTAAAGCCTGGCTTAATTCGTTGAGAATGCGCTCTTAAGACAACAGCGCTAATCCCAGCAAGGACAACGCACAGTCACCATCTAAAGTGAATGAGTTGAAAGGGTGGATTAGGCTTTTTTCTTTTTGATGTTTGACTTACAATGCCCTTAACTTATTCTCAAACTTAGAGTGAGGTAAACACCATAGTTTGTTAGAACAATAGAATTTATAACTAGCTTTACATAATGTTATTGATTTTCTTGTTGGCAGTTTGTTTTTGAAGGAAAAGCTAAAACTGCATATTCCCAAATAAGAACAAATTTCAATTTGCTCTAGGGTGATTTAAACTTTGGCTGGATTTCTCTCTGGCCTGTGACATAAATATCCTTATACCTCAAAATAGTGTATTATTTATCATAGTGTTATTGCCACTTTGATATATGATAATAAAATTCTATATAAACATTGATTATTTCTCATTGATGGATATAAAAGCAAAATGTGTATTGAAGTATTTTGTTTGACTTGTGTAATTGTCAATAGCAGTGCATGTATATGTATCTTGTATTGGTGCATATTAAATAATCAAATGATAAGGGTTTTACTCTAAAACAGCACACTCCTAATGAAATTTAAAGCTTGCTGTACACTCAATGCACACAACTTTTAAGCAAAAGCATAATAAGGAAGCAGTGATAATTATGCAGGTAAATGTTGTTTAAGGGGGGTATGTAGGTTAGAGATTTTCTCTTAAAATAAAATAAATTAAATTAAATAAATTATAATAAAGGTCTTAGCTTTTTTAATTCCTATCACATTCACTATCACATTTGTATCTTCAAAAATCTAATTATGCATGAAACACAGCTCCAACTTCATCGTGTGACGTAATATTGGGGTTTGGGGGACAAAAACACCATTTTTAAACACCTGATTTTCTCAGGCACCTGGACAGCTATAAAAATGCTTTTAATGGTACTATAACACTTGAACAAAGTACTACAAAAGGGAGTCAGGGATTTTTCTTTAGAGACATCAAAATATTAAGAATTTTCACTTTCAAAGTCAATAAAATTAATTGGAAAAGAGAGGGTCAATCAAAAATTTTTTAAAAGCACTTGTAGTGCATACTTTTCTTAATAAGATTGGTGAATTTGGTCTCCCTCAAGTGTACAGGTTGACAGTTACAGCTCGCTCCGATAATGCTATCTCGTCAATCTTGAAAGCAAAGAAAACTAGCAAAAACCCTTTCTGGGAGATTATTGTCCAAAATAGCAAATTAAATTGTTGACGGCTTTACCTGTTATCATTCTGACGATCGCAATTGCCGGTTGAAATTAGCTTGTTTGCATGCATTTGCATGTCAGAAAATCTTATTTTTGTATCAATCTCACCTCCTGTTAGTAACTTCAAGGGATTACCGCTAGCACTGCCAGAATGATTGACAGGCAATCAATTAAGCTCTAATTACTCAACCAATCAGTGGCCACGTCAATTGATGTTGGGGCAAGTGTTAGGGATGCGCTCTAGGATGTGCACACAATAAAGCATCATCGCAGGTGGTCTTGTCCACATTCGCCAAGCGAAAAAAATGGTTCAAAAACACGGTCGTGTCACAGGACGCTGTTCGGACCATCAACAACAAGAAATAGAAGCGACCAGGCAGGGCTTGTTAGAGGAAATGTGTAAAGTTGTGTTTGTCAGAAATTAGGATAATTATTGAAGAAAAAAAAACATGTCGGCTTTGAAAGTGCATACATGCATCCAGAACTGTACCTCGCGGTATACCAGCATTTAGATTGAAAATGCTAGGGCTTATTTTCCAGCTCATATCTCATTGCTTAGATGAATAATTCTGAAAAATCAAAATGTTATAAATACTACAGCACTCACGTGATCTCAGCTTACTATTGTTCGTGCAAAAAATGGAGTCTAGTGATATTATTTGCTCTATTTGCTTAGTTTTTTTTTGCACGTACTGAAATTTTACACCACTCTATGAAAGGTTACGCTAGGATATGGGCTCAAGTCTTTTCAAAGCAATCTTGTATATGATTCCAGTCAGTATTCGACAAAATGTTTAGGTTGATGTCGCTCAGAAAAAGTCCAAAACACAGAAATTATCACCATCGTCAATCGTAGAGCTTAGCATTAGTTGTCAAGATTTGATAAACATGTGCCTCAATGCTAGATCCAAGTTGCATAGATCTATAAAATCTGACGACTGTATAGAGCTGCTGTCGAAGATTGATCGATAGTTTGACGGTTGCTGTCACAGGTAGCAAGCAGTGGAATGTTTCTCTTTTTTTATTCGTATCTCCAAATGTTAAGAAGAAAATCAGAAGTACATGTATATAGCAACAACCAATTCAAGGAAAAAAGCGTAATCTGAGAAAATCCAATGTATCAGAAAAGATTCTCCTTAGCGCTGATCACAATCAAGAGCGACTATCAATGCTTTGCCTATCGCTGTTTATGACAAAAGGAGTATGACACGTTCCTGTTTTATTGTTTGGCGAGTTGTGCTCATGCTGCTAAGGTCTTCCCACTGAGTTTCCCCATGCCAATGGCCCTTGGCAATGAGGGCGGGACACAGACCAAGCCACCCGTGCCGATGAGTGCAGCATCAAAATCAACAGAAAAAACATTTTTTGTTCAAACTGTAAAAAGGTTATTCCATTAAACGTCAGATACACATTTAACCAATAATAAGACATAAAAAAACCCAAAATGATTATTTTTAGCGATATTTGGGTACATTCCCCCCTTAATATTGCAAATAAGTAATATATATATATATATATATATATATATATATATATATATATATATATATATATATATATATATATATAAAACTAAAAGATTAAAAGTTTGAATAGCAGCTTTATTGGAATTATATTTTTTTATGTTTTCTTTTAATTTTTTCTCAATCACTGGCATTTTAAAGATGTGACTTTTAACTCCCATCCACCTGAGGCTGTGCACATTTTCTTTATTTCCACATAAGCAGTTGTATTAGTATTTATGTCTTTCCACATTATGTAATATTATTTTATGCACTGTCATCATTTTTCAAAAATTGACACTTATGTGAATTTGAACTCTCATGGTCCTTAAACTATCATCTTATTGAAGGGTTGGATTGAGACCATCTTCTGGGTCAGGAAGATGGTCAGATTTTTATTAAAATTCAGTGTCGACTGACTGTGCTATTATAAGCATTATTAATTATCGCATCAAAATTGACAAAATGACCTGTTTTTTATCTTTATTTTCTGTTTTTTGTCTGTACATTTGACAGCTTTGCTGCCTTGTTTAATTACGCATCTAATGAAAACAAAAAACACTTCTGTGGCCCTAACTCTTTAAAATTGTCCCTCAGTCAGCCACAGAAAGGGTATTTGTATTTTTTCTGTAGGTTAGAAAACATTATTTAATGTTTCCATTGACTCTCCAGCAAAAGCATTGACTTTCAGCAAAACATGGTGGATAATTTCCTAAAACTACGTAACACCTTGGGTTCCATACATGTGGCATGCATATGCTGCTCACTACTTACCATGATTCTGTGAAACAACTCCATCACAGCCAGTTGTGGGACATCTCAGGCTGGACAACTTCTGATCCTAAGAAAAGTATTTTTGAAAAAATACTCTTTTTGTCCAAAGAAATTTCCTTTTCAATACACATGGCTGACGAATGAATATTGCGAAAGCAGATAAAACATGATATCAATTCTAAAAAAATTCCAAGTTAGAATAATAACAAAATCCTTAATGGGGAATCAGAAGAAAAAGCTGCCTCTGATTATTTTCCCCCTTTTTATAACTTTTGTTTCAGAATCCCTCCCTCTCTAAGAGCGCATTCTCAACGAATTAAGCCAGGCTTTACAAAGCCGGTGACCTAAAAATGGCGCACGTACATGAAAGAAAAACCGCCTAATCTTTTAATAGTCTCTCCGCCTCCCCACACATCGTCCCTGCGGGGTACAGTAATTAAATCTCGGCTCCGTTCGCCATGCGGAAGCAACCTGAGAAATATTAAGTGCGCAAGCTCATCAGTTAAACTCGTGGTGAAGAAAGCATGGCAGCTGAAGGCGATCGAAGGAAAAAAGCTCTTCTGTTCTATTATCTTTGAAAACAGAGACGAAAAAGGAATAATTTGGCCCGTAGAGCAGCAATGAATTGACTATCTACGGAGATAATATCACCAGAGATATTCACGGAAATATTAATGTTCGGAGCCGAGATTTAATTACTGTACCCCGCAGGGATGACGTGTGGGGAGGCGTGTGAGAGGCGGAGAGACTATTAAAAGATTAGGCGGTTTTTCTTTCATGTACGTCCGCCATTTTTAGGTCACCGGCTTTGTAAAGCCTGGCTTAATTCGTTGAGAATGCGCTCTAACTATTATGCATATTGTCAATGGTTTGTTCACTACACCGCAGCTATCAAGTGATCTATATGTGACCTATTTTTGTTACTAAGAATGTGTTAATAATACCAGGGCTAATTTACAACCAAATTTTGATGATCGACTCCTCTGCAAACTGATGGAAAACAAAATAAAATGGACACCACCTTCAGTACTGCATTTGACAAACTCTAAAGGATACAACAAACAAGAGGTCTGTAGTATTTACAATTCCAGACTTAGTGAGTTTTCAATTTTTGCATCTAATGGCTGCTTCTCCCATGCATGATAATGCACTGATTGACCCAAATTCACGAAGATGACAGTGACCCGAAGTGTGATCCCTGCCCATAATATTACATGTATACGTATGCTAATTTCTAAAAATTAGAATTAGAATTCCCTTACGAAAAAGTCCTATAGGATCCTATAAAATCCTATAGGATTCTACAGGAAATTGGCCCAATTTCCTATAGGCTCCTATAGGATCTTATAGGATCCTATAAGACTTTTTTCGTTAGGGATGTTTTGCAAAAATTCCTATTTTAGAAAGTTTTGGCCTGTCTGAACATTTTGACCTGTATTTTCCTTTCGAACTTTATCTGTATATTAGTCAGATTGATCACTCCTGTGATTTTCTAGACAACAGGCCTATTGGTTTTCCTTGAAATGTGTTAGCAGTGTTGCATATATGCTGACAAAGAGAGAAGACCTAGGAACAACACTGGGCATATGAGGAGCAAGCATTTGAGGGGCAAAGTTAAGCTGATGGTGAAAAAGTAAGTCAAAGGTCAATTTCAAGGTCACAGTATATGACTTCCTAATTCAAGTTCAATAGCAACTATGGGCATTTCTTTGCCAATTTTGGAGATATAAAGGCCAGAAAACATGCAAAGTGCAGTTCATCATAAAAAAGTAGGTCAAAGGTCAATTTCAAGGTCACAGTAAGATTGCCAATATATGACTTCCTATTCAAGTTCAATGAAAACTTTGGGCGTACCTCTAGCTGTTTTCGAGATATAAAGATCAGAAAACTTGCAAAGTGCAGTTCATCATGAAAATTGAGTCAAAGGTCAATATCATGGACACAGATTGCCAGTATATAACTTCCTATTCAAGTTCAATAGTAACTCTGGGCATATCTCTGGTAGTTTTGGAATTATATGGGACAGAAAAGTTGCAAATTTAAGTTCATGGTGAAAAGGAAGTCTAAGGTCAACTGTTTACTATTATACTAATCTATAGGTACAAGTAAGATGCAAGATAGGATGGTATATTATAGAGAGTTCACTCTTCTAACTGTTTTAAGCATATGGAAAAAACTGAACCTCCCCCCTTCCTTTGTTACAAAAAAAAAAAAAAAAAAGGGGGAGTAGGGGTTAGGTCAATGGCAAACAGCATTGGGACGGAAAAGTTGAAAAGCTCAGTTCTTAATGAAAAGTAGGTCAAATGTCAATTTCAAGGTCACAGTCCGATTGCCAGTATATGACTTCCTATTCAAGTTCAACAGAATAAAAGGTGCATCTCTGCTAAATTTGTTATATTTCATTTTATTTTTAGCACCGAGTATTGCAACGTTGTGCTTTTTGATATAGTGCAACTTGTAAACTGTATGGTAAACAAAAAAAGGGACACCACCTGCAGTGTTGGGCATGACAAGCTCTGTAAAATGCAAAACAAGAGGTCTCTAGCTTTTATGGTTCTAGAATTAGAGAGAATTTTCAGTTTCACAATCTAATGGCTGTTTCTCCCGTGAAAATGTACCAATTGACCCCAAATTCACAAAAATGAAAGATGACCCTAAGGGTAACACTTGCCTGTAATGTTATAGGTTAGGTCTGAGTAGTTTCTGAAAATTGGTACATTTAATCTTTTTTTTGTTTGCAAACATTTCCCATCTTTAGAAAATTTTGTCCCATTTGACCTTGAAATTAAGGTCAAAGGCCAAATCCAAGGGCATAATTGAAATCTCCTCATATGACTTCCAGCCATCTTCAGAAAATTTCTCCTTAAAATTCTTCGGTTTGGGAGATATTTAACATTTAATTTTGGACAAAGGTGTACTGGGACTAGTGTCACACCTAGACTCAAGCACCAACAAAGCCCAAAATTCACATGCTTGTATTGAGATTATGTGACCTACATATAAGAGGGGTTCTTGTAGTTTAGGAGGAAGTGGTAACAGTGACATGCGTTGAGCCAGCAGACGATACTGGCTGGGACTAAAATCATGCATACTGCAGCATGGCGCTGGTGGTACAATAATAAGTGATTTCCTTTTCCTTTTGTGGTGTTCACAAGTAAACATTTATAGGCTGTCCATAAAAACTTACCCTCTGTTTATCTCTGCACATAACACAGTTACATGTGAAGTAGTATTGTTCCATCAGCTGTTGCTTCCTTTCTGATGTTGTAGCAAGTTGGTCTATGTAACTGACCCTAACCTAAAACAGTTTTAAATACACAAGCATTTATATTTAGGAGGTACCAGTGATTGTGGCAGGATCTCATAGTATTCTCTCTCTCTATCTCTCTTGCTCTCTCTCTTTCTCTCTCTCTCTCTCTCTCTCTCTCTCTCTCACACACACACACACACACACACACACACATACACAGGACAAGTATGCATACATACATTAGCATACTTCAAGTTATATACTTTTTTCCAAGAAAAGTTATTTTAATATTTCCATTTGTTATGCTATTTCTCAGAGTTAATGCAAATATTTACTTCCGATATATCCCCAATGTCTTCCACAGCTCTCACATACAACTTGTTGCCATCAAAGACAGTGGTTGCATTAGGACAGCAGCTATGATCCAAGATGGACGGACTGCAGGAGAAAAGGAAATATGCATATAATATATCATAACTACTTTTTACACAGTGGAGGACAGTGGTTCAGATGACAAGAAAAAAATCAGATTTAATAACTTTTTTCTGTCAACAAGAGAGGAATTACAATCTTGTTACAAGGCAGCAAAGATGTCAAATGTACAGACCAATAGCAGGAATTAACAATGCACTAAAAAGGTTATTTTGTCAATTTTGATGATTACATGATACATTACATTATGCATAATAGCAAAACCAACAACAAATTTTTATTATGCACAAAATAATATGTAACAAGCATATGGTATATGACTTCAGCACCATAAGACCCCTTTCCCAGAGATTAGATTGATCCAAACTAGATAGACCTAACTCCCTGGGGGTTCACGCTAAATAGCTGTCAGCCGAGCGGGCACGAAAGTTAATTACCCCCTTATAGCTTGTAGTAGGCAGGACGGACATTTAAGCCGGATTATCTGACAGTAATCTAGGAAGACTCCCCTCAGGGATAGATCGATCTAAATGTCTGGGAATATGCCCTAAGAGTTCAAATGCAAGCAGTGCAAATCCTGATATGTGAAAAATTAACATCTCATAAAAACTGCTTAGGTTATAGAAAGAGAACATAATCAGGCTGGTTTTCTAACTCAAGATGCATCTTAGAATCAACTTTTGTAAGTTTGACCAAAATAATTAACACATTTTTCTATTATACTTAAAGGAATAATAACTGTTCATTTTGGCCAAAAAATAAATTTTCCCGGGGTAAACGGCAATTTCACCCTACTAACCAATGGTTAATGACTCCATTCCTGCATTCAGAGTTAATCCAGGGTTTTTTCCTTAAAAGTGTGTGTTTTTGTAATAATGTCTTAAAAGATTATGATAGACAGAGCCCTGTCTCACACTTGACAATCCTGCGATAGTAAGCAAGATTTTGTGACCTACTTAAAACTGCAGGAATGGATGACAACAGTACCAGCAGAGCCGGATCTTGATGGTTTAGTGCAACAGGATCCAGAACATTCTTAAAAACCAAGGAAAAGGAAACAGATATTGAACAAAGATAATTTTTTTCTTAAAGCAAAAATTTCAAATTATGAAAGATCCAAAAGGAATTTAAGACAAAGTGGCAAAAACGAAAAAGAGTGTCATAATTACCTCAAATAAACCCCAGCTCCTATAGGCTGCATTTCACCACTGCATATGCTAAAACTGTTGATAATCATCTGAAATTAAAATGGTAGATTCATATATCATTCTCTCTCTTTTTAAAGAATGTCTGTATTCTGTTTTCAATCTAACCTTCAAACACAGGTTTAGTGTAGAGTTTAAGGTTGGATTTGAATTTTACATGAGTTGAATTTTATTGGTAACAGTGGGTCTCTCTGTTATGGTTTTCAAAGTTATCTGGCTTTAAAACCTGACAAAATGTCAACAAGGATTTAAACTACACTTCCTATCACCAAGCTACTGATAATTATAAGGCTATAAAATTGAATTTGCAATATGCCTCATAAAATCACATCGCAGCAAAAATGCTCTAAATTGAGATTATATGGACAATGATAAACAAATAAATAACACCCAAAATTTGCACAAAGGGACAAAACAAAAAATCGCCAAAACTATCATTTCAACACTTTTCATCCATCATTGCTATTTATAGGAAAATTGGGAAACTTTAGAGGCCACTTTTTTATCTATGCTTTTTATTTTACTTCTTTATAAATAAAGTTAAATAGTAAAAAGGAAAATTATTTGTTGTTAAAACAGGTTTACTGTCTATTTTTGCACCCTTAAAATGCACTATTTTACTAATCTATTGTCATTATTATAATAGTATTTATAGGGCTGTAATCAATTTAAACATATCTCTAGTATACAGACTGAGTGATGTTTCCCTAAATTGGAAGCCTGAAGTTCACTCTGTCCATTATCCTTTTAAACTCACTTTCCCAAAAATTTCCAGCAGCTCTGTAGTGGGTACTTTGAGCTGATCTCCAACAAATTGCTGCAGTGCCACACACATCTTGACAAACTGTTCAGTCCTTTTTGGATCACCTTTTATATCTTCTGTGTCTAAACAAAAGAAACCTGCAGTGTCCTTAAAAGATACCTTGGCAAAACCATTGTAAACAAACTTCAAAGACTTAAAAAATATGACTATGTACTTTTGGTAGAAACATTTAAATAAAGGTGCTTCATTTTAAATGTCAATTTATCAAATATAATGAAACAATGAAATTACAAATGATCATTACCTATATGCAATAAAAGTGTATGTAGTTCTTACGTGACATTAAATCATTGAATGTCCTAATCTGTGGGTCTTCTTTACTCAGAGGTGTGATTGAAATGTCATTCTTCTGAAAAGAAAATCTAGTAAAATTCACAGCTTTCAGAGGCAAGTTATATTTTACAGTGCGTATGTAATGCATCTACATTATAGGGGAGATGAAGCATATATCTTGCTTGTATCTGAACATAACCGACTATATCAATATAATGAAAAATGTAAAAATTTTTAACGTATACACCTTTTAATAAAGCTAATATTGAAATTTTTACGCTGTGACAAACCTCCAATCTCAGCAATAGCCTCAACATCAAGAGTGTGCTATCAGTGGGAACCATTGGTGCAATTCTTTTGAAACAAACACATTCTTTTTTGTGGAGTGTCCAGGAATTGCGCTAAAATAAAAGTACATATATATATGACCTTTTCCTTCTGACTGATCAACTCATAAACATTTTACAAAGGATCCAGTTGTAAGGTGATTGATAACAATGCACTATGTTAATCCAAAAAAATAACCCCACGGCCACAACTCCAACCAAGTGCAGAGATACACACTGTTGTTACAAAACAATGGTAAGTGTCATGGACTCAAAGTAAGCAGGAAAACAGAATTGACAGCATGGAATTGTACACATGACAGCATCTGTGAAAAACATAATCACATGTTGTAAAAATCTTATTGAATTAGGTAGTGAATTTCAAAACTAGTTTATTTCAATGGCAGAGTCACTGATCACCACATAACTAGAATTGGGAAAACAGGGAATCCAAATTTTATATTATGATATAAATTAGAAGAAAAAATGAACCTTTAAACATAACAAGGCAGCAAAGCTGTCAAATGTACAGACAAAAAAAAACAGAAAAAAAAAGATGCAAAATAGGTCATTTTGTCAATTTTGATGCAATAATAAATAATGCTTATAATAGCACAGTCAGTCAACACTGATTTTTAATCATGCACAACAGGTAACATGGTCAATAACAGGAGCAGATCCAGAGATATTTTCTGACAGTATTCCAAAGTATCTTTGTTGATCCATCCTCCATTATGATGGTCTTCCAACAGAAAAAAAATAGATACCCATCAATATAAACTTTAAAATCTGTCTTCCAGGAGACCCAGAAGATGGTCTCAATCCACCCCTTCAATAAGATTACAGTTTCATGACCATGAGAGTTAAAATTCACATGATGAAAGTCCCAATATATGAAAAATGATGACAGTGCATAAAATAATATTACATAGTGTTTAAAGACATAAATACCAATACAACTGCTTGTGTGGAAATACAGAAAATGTGCAGAGCCTCAGGTGGATGGGAGTTGAAAGTGACATCTTGAAAATGCCAGTGTTGGAGAAAAAATTAAAAAGCTGCTATTCACTGCTTCCTTATTATGGACACTATGTTGTCTAGCAGAGAGCTTAACCTTTGGGAGTTTACAGGGAAATATCAACAAGTGTGCTTTATGAAATCTCATTTAATGGCCACTTAATTAGGCAAATGAGTTTATAGCACTGAACTTAGCCTAGTGAACACCCAAGGGGAATTTATAGACTGACCACACAAATTTGTCTATCAAAGGTCTTCAGGCCCATAAGTCACACCTTAAGAAAAGCAGAAAACAATAATGCACAAAAACAGGAGACTACCAATTCTGATGCAATAATACATTATGTTTAACTGCACAGTGAACATCAAATTTTAATTATGCACAACAGGTAACACTGATGAAAGTAAAAGCATAAGGCTTCAGGCCCATCAGAGTTCAAGTTTACAATTAGAAAGTACCAGAATGAGAAAAATGAAAATTTCATAAAAAATGCATAAATTTAATAAAAATGATAATCCAATTCTAATATGAGCTGTATGTCAATCCTAAGAATCATTCTTGTAAGACTAGTTAAAAAAATAGAAAGTAACACTTTACTTTACATAATATTAATGGTGGCAGAGCACAAAGTAGGTTTTTTGTCAATTTTGATGCAACATTACATAATGATTAACTGTATAAATACCACCAATTTTAAAATATCTACTATTAAAAACATGGACATTAAGAAAATTTGATTACCACTGGGCTTCATGTCCAAGGGAGCTCTAAGTCCCACATGAAAATTGCAACATGTGAAAGATAAAAGTTTTCACAAAAAAACCTGTATTACTTCCAAACAATTAACTAATGAGACAATTTTTCAACTGAAGCTGTATTTCAGTCCTATGTTTCTTTCCTGTAAGTGTGAGAAGAGCAAGTGACATGGTTTTCCTTTCATTGCCACTACAGAGGCAGTGCCCAGAATAGGGTTTTGTTCAATTTTGATGCAATATTACACAACGCTTAACAGCATAATAACCATAACTTTTTTAATAATGAAATAAAAGTATCATGGATATTCAGAAAATGTGACTAGCCCATAGAGTTCAGAGTCATACTTTGAAAATCCCAAAACATAAACAAGAGAAAACTGTATTGAAAGAGTTTATTTCCATTTTCAACACCAAAAAGGCATAACTTCACCAAACTTTAACTGATCAAGCTTATTTTCAAAACTTAATCTGTGTTTTAGTAACATTGATCACCCCTGTGAATTTCAAGACAATTTGCCAATCAATTTTCCTTTAAATGTATAACAGGTGTTGCATATATGCTGGAAAAAGTGAAAAAACAGCAAAACTTTTATAAAAATGGCACAATCATGCAGAATTACGAACTTGACCTGCATATTATGGATATTCATCAGTTCTGTAAGTTTCAATCCAAAAGGAAAAACATTTTCCACTTAACGTGTTATTGGTGTTGCATACGTAAATGCCAGAAAAATTGAAAAAAGAGCATAACTTTTATAAAAATTGCTTGATCATGTTGATTTTCGAACTTGACCTGCGTATTATGAATATTCACCAGTTCTGTAAGTTTTAAGCCAAAAGGTAAAATGCTTTTCCACTTATCATGTTATCGGTGCTGCATATATGCTGAAAAAAGTGAAAAAACAGCATAACTTCCCTAAAAATGACCTGATCATGCTGATTTTTGAACTTGACCTGCAGATTATGAATATTCATCAGTTCTGTAAGTTTCAAGCCAAAAGGTAAAATGGTTTTCACTTATCATGTTATCGTTGCTGCATATATGCTGAAAAAAGTGAAAAAACAGCATAACTTCCCTAAAAATGGCCCGATCATGCTGATTTTCGAACTTGACCTATGTATTATGTATATTCATCAATTCTGTAAGTTTCAAGCTGAAAGAAAAAATGTTTTTCCACTTAACGTGTTATCTGTAAAAGTGCACGGCGACAGCGATCACTGCGGCGATGGCGACAACAGACACAGGTGATGGCTATATGTACAGACACATCTGTGTCTGTACATAAAAAATAAGTATCATGGATATTCAGAAAATGAGACTAGCAAAGGTACTCAAGCCTATGAAAGTTCAAAGTCACAACTAGAAAATACCGATTTGTGAACAATTAAAATTTCACAAAGAACTATAACTTCCAGAAAAGTTAACCAAATGAAGCTATACTGGTATTTTGGTTCTACAGTTTCTTGTACGTATCTTGTACGTATCTTTTCTTTAAGTTTGAGGATAGTAAGTGACATGGTTTTCCTTATATGGTCACCTAGAAGCAGTGCCCAAAATAGGATTTTTTTCAATTTTGATGCAATATTACATTATGCTTAGCAGCCCAACACCACCAATCTTTAATTATGCATTGCACGTAACACAGATATTTAGATATTTATGTGACTAGCATAAGTCTTCATGTCTATGGAACTTCAAAGTCACACCTAAAAAATGCCAAAATGTAAACAAGAGATAACTGTACTGAAATGAGTTTATTTCCATTATCAACACTTTTTACATAATACAAAATAACCCATTTATTTTTAATTTTATATGATCAACTAACAAAATGGTGAGATGAGGAAAACATCAATAAAAATGTTTTAAATGCCCAACCTGCTCTATTCTGAGATTCTGAACATAGTGAAGGATTGAAATTGCCTCTACATGCATATTAGTTAATCACCATTTTTGATACTTGATTACACAATAAACAATAACAGATTTACCACCATTTTAATATAATCAATTAACACAATTGCCAAGATGCAAATAATGTCAAAGGAACACTTACACAAATCTAATTAGTTCAACAATGAGACTGTTTTATTAAAATATGTCTAAGAAGAATGACTTTTGGAAAAATGGTCTGATCAAGCTGATTTTTAAACTTGACCTGTATTTTACTTATATTCATCAGTTCTGTTAGTTTGCAAACAAAAGGTCAAATGGTTTTCCACTTATTCTTTCACCTTTAAAGATAAACACCAACAGCTTTGGCATCGATGGCAGCAATGACACACAGATGATGTGCCTCTGCATAAACAGGCCTCATAAACGATAATTGCTGTTTCTGAGCACAAGCCTCAGATTCCCTAGCGCCAATGCCAATATCAACAAGCCCCACCTCAGTTTAACAAGCACAACGTAAAGTTACCAAGCACAAACTTAGCGATTCCAAGCACTATCAATTTGTCCCACTTCCATTGGGGCCCCTGGCTGCTTACATACAGGTTCTTTAATCAACTCAGGACTATTTTCAAGATAGCGGAAGATACAAGAGATATAATGGTGGAACCTGCAGAGATTTATGGGTGCAAACGAGTAATATTAGCTCCCCTTTCTGTCTCTTCTACGAAAGAGAAAGGATTTTTAACGTCCATGCCACAGCCAAATAAAGTGGCTAGATCATTACTAATAGATTTTGACGAGAAAATATGTTTCCATGTATCGATATTTTAACTTGAGCAAAATAAACGCATATTATATAAAAATTCTCAAAACAAACCAAACTACTGCATTAGCATATTCCACTATATCCATGCCGCGTATTAATACAGCAGCAATATGCGTTAGTGCTCGTTAACTTAACGTTGTGCTTGTTAATCTGAGGTGGAGCTCGTTAATATTGGCATTTGCAATCAGGAATCTGAGGCTCATGCTAGGAAATGCCTAATCCGTTTATGAAGCCTGATACAAACCAAAATAATTTTACACATAGACATACATACACACTTACTGCTCTTGAATTTAATTCTTTTACCTGACATCTGATGCTACAGTATCTGACAACTGCACAGGCTGAACACCTTTTCAGTGCTTCCTCTGACCTAAAATGTGGAAACTGCTTACCATTATCAAAAATAAAAATCTGTCAATATTAATTGGAACTATAATGGTATTTCTTCTACTCAGAGTATCCATATATTGTTCTAATACTTCATCTCCTTGAGCACATTTCTTGATCAACCTGAGAAACAAAAATTACTTTTACCTTCCTGACACAATTAAGATGTAAATGTTTATGCAACGTGTTTCCCTATGAAGCTATATCAAACGTTCCTGTTGAATGACAAGTTCAGCAGCTACACAATTAGTACTAATTAATGGTTGTCATTATGGCATAGATATGGGAGATTCAAATAACATTATCAATGCAGCATATATTGAAATGATGGCAAAAATTTTCAGTCTTGACTTATTTCTTAGACCCATATACTAGTAGTTACAGTACATTTTTTTCCACCAATTGTAATAATTGATTGACTTTTTTCCATCCCCCTAGACATACAACACATACCCCAACCCCTGCCCCACCAAGTAACAATTTTTCTTAATCATGGAATTGACATTCATACTGGTATGTTACCCAGAATTTATTGAAGATTTGTGTGTCAAGAAATATAGCACAAACAATATGAGAATGTTTTAATGTTTTTGTCAACCACACTGTATATATATTATGACCAACAGTTTGGAGACAAAGCCCTTCCCCAAATATTTTAAGGTCACAGCAAATTTGCTGCAAATTCCACCTTCATATGACCATGAAAAAGAGAAGTAAATACTACGTAGCTCCTTTGCAAGTTTTCATGAAATTTTTTATTTTCCTGTGAATTTGCACCAAATTTGCAGCAACTGTAGTTCCTTGCAAACTTCTGCAGCCATGATTGTATAAATTACCTGACTAACATACGGAACTTCCTAACTTTTATGCTCTAAGAGATTACAATTCTATTTATTTCTGTACTGGTACATAGATTGTCATGACCTTGTACAATATGATATATTAATTATCATACAATACAATTGGTGCATTACCATTTCTCTAATTGGTAATTATTTTGCCTAGCTGTTTGTGAATGAAAAAATAATCTTTATATAATTTTAATTATATGTTAAAACATACGTACTAGTAAATTTATTCATAAAATATTCTATCTAAGATAAACCTTGGTGTGATTATAAATTTACCATATACCGCATTCACAACGAGTTGAGCCATGTCTCTTCAAATCCAGGAACTAAATATGGCGGACGTACATGAAAGAAAATCCGCCTAATCTTTTTATAGTCTCCCAGCCTCTTACACGCCTCCCCATGCGTCGTCCCTGCGGGGGTACAGTCATTAAATCTCGGCTCAATTCGCCATGCAGAAGCTACCTGAGAAATATTAAGTGCGCAAATTCATAGGGATCTTAATCATGAAAACATCCCCCTTTCTAATAAAGAAATTGACCGACGATAATTTTTCACAACAGCATAAGATGGATGTGAAAAGCCATTCATTTGCGTTGGTACTCAAAAGTAAAATTTCAAGTACAGTAATTGAGTAGGGTATCTCCGTGAATATCTCTGGTGACATTATCTCCATAGATAGCCGATTCATTGCTGCTCTACGGGCCAATTCATTCCTTTTTCCGTCTCTGTTTTGAAAGATAATAGAACAGAAGAGCTTTTTTTCTTCGATCGCCTCCAGCCGCCATGCTTTCTTCACCTCAAGTTTAATTGATGAGCATGTGCACTTAATATTTCACAGGTAGCTTCTGCATGGCGAAAGGAGCCGAGATATAATGACTGTACCCCCGCAGGGACGAGGCGTGGGGAGGCGTGTGAGAGCTGAAGAGACCACGCTCGGCTGTCACCTTGATTGGATAGTAAACGATTGTCGTAAAATCGCTAAATGATATTAAAACCGGGTTGATAAACTTGAAAACTACCTAGAACAACCTTAGACTGCCACATTAATCCAATACAATGCAAAAATAAACTATAACAAGTGGTTAAAACCTTCAAACCGAATGTCGTAAAGTCCCCATATACCTCCATAGAGACAATAAAATAGAAAGAGCTTGTGAAACAAGAAGCCACAATTTTAAACATAATAATCGAAATAAAATACTGCCGGGCATCGGAGCGGCCTAAAACTTGGTACGCTTACCGCAAATACTGCAGGCTACAT